GTTTAGTTATCTGATCTAACCAAAGCCATTTAAAAATTTAGATCCATTATCCGTTAGTCAGTGTTGCTCACTGACTACTGGGTCGATATTGACAGTGTTACGGGATTTCTAGAGCAATAAACTTAACCACATGAGATAGGACAACTGGAGAGCCCTAAATTCTGCTATTGATTCAGTGTACAAACTTGCAACAATAGTGAGCTTTTATTTTTTCGTTGCTGCATCTAGGATAAATGAGAATTCATTCACCCACTTTAAACATTCATGTTTCAGGAAACAATCCAAGGACAAATGGCTTATTTAAAAATTTAAATGTAAGCCAGATGTGGTGGCACGTGCCTGTAACCCAGAACTCCGAGAGGCTGAGGCAGGAGGTTTGCAAATACAAGCCCAGCCCTGGCTATTTACAAATCAGCAAGATCGTATTCCAAAAATGAAACAATAAAAGGAGGAGTTGGAAATGCTGCTCAGGGGGAAGATCCTGGGTTCAGTGTCTAGTACTGAATGAAAAAAGCTCCCTCAAATATCACATTAATCAACCTCACCATCATCTCCTACCTAGAGATTTCAAACCTGCAATACTAACATCTGTGTTGCATGTTAGCATTTGTAAAATACAGCTGTGTATTTCCCCCAAGCCCGGGGACCCTGGAAGAGCAAAAATTCACCGTTTTTTTTAAGTACTATAGTGACAGTCAGAGGGGTTAAATTACTTATTTAGGTTCAAGGAGGTAGAAATTTGTGGAATTAAAAAGCTACCTAGATTTTCTGAACTAACTCCACCCTAGGTAAACCATGTACCCATGGAGTAGCGAGTTGAGAAATATGTGAAGGGTGAAGAAAAGCAAAATTCCTACACTCATTTATTTTATATAATTTTGCTAAGGCCTTGAGGCCTTTATACTGTACCCAAACTTGTCACCGGTAGAAATATTCCAGTACTGGTGTTGCCCTGAGATTGTAAACAGCAAAACTGAGGGCATGCGTTTGGGTCTACCTGTCACTCATATAGGTTTTTCAACCAGTTTAGGACATGAACATTTGCAATGTATGTGTGCATTTGCTATGTAGGGTAATATTTTCTCTGACATGGAAAATTAAACATATTTTTATGTCTTTCCCCATTCTCCTGTACATTGCCAGTTTTTGTAGTTCTTCCAGGCGTCCACTAGAGGGTAGCAGTCTCACATATATTCAGCGGTGGGACCCTTGATTACATTGGAAACATTTGTGACACTGAGGCTGTTTTCCTCACATGGGTGAGGCATAAAGTCTCCAAGTAGTTCAAGATTTGTTTTGTTTTTTAGTGCTTAACTTCCCTCCTATAGAGATTTTGCTTCCAGATGCTATTTATTGAACAATTCCTCCTGCGCCCCCAGCCTTACTGAAATCATGGGGTGTTGTAAATCCGGCCTTTGGCAGAGGTTTGATCTAAACCTAGGCGATGCAAAGAGGGTCTGTTCCAAAGAAGATCTATTCCTGGGAAGTGCAGGGAATGGGCTGAGAGGCCTGTCCGCAGGCTTGCAGAGCAGCCGGCAGTTTATATCTACAAAGAAACTTCAGGTGCGTTTGTGCTTCCTTTGGTATTCACATCACCCAAGACCACAGTTACCTTTGCCTCTAGATTCCGCATCGCCAGACACACAGACTCACTCGGACAGCCCAGCAAGTGTCTTTCCTACCTTATCGAAACTCTCTGATTTTCCCTAGCAAAAAACAAACAAATAACAATGAATGCATGCACACCGCTTGCACAATATGGTTCAAGGGTTTACTAGATGATGTTTGACATTAGTCACCAGGTATTGAATCTAAAAGTCACCGAGAACCATTTCCTGTTCTTTTTCATTCCCCAGTGATTTGATTCTTCCAATACTATAACTTTCCTTTACTCATTCACTTAGAAAACCAGACCCGTGCTTCAGGTTCTCCTTCTTTACACACCCAAATAAAAAGTGAGATGTCACCTTTTATTTTATTCAGTGAGTCAAATCCTTCTGTCTTAGGTTCTCCAAGAGTTCCTTCTGTACAGTCTTACTGTGTGTATGTATTTCCTTACAGTTTCCTTATCATGCAACATAAGTATATATGTACCATATCCTCATAAAATCCTTTCCAGTAATTCTCTGCAATTAACAGACCTCTCTGACTGAGTCAGAGTTATCAGTTGAACTGTTCACCCTCTCCATGAGAGGCGGGGAGTAGAGAGAGCAGTTACTGAGGTATAAACATGATTATTGGGGTGCTGCGGGATGACAGAAGCCTGGTTTCTGGTTGCTACCACGTCAGACTTTAGTTGAGGTATTTTATTGTTTGTAGAGTATGGAGGATTTTCCTTGTGGGGTGGACTGGATTCCCTCTATTTCCTGAACGCTAGAGAAAACTGGCTCAAATCCCCACAGTACAGATTATGAAGACACTCGTATTCTTTCCAGAGCTTCTAAGAAATCCTAAGGACTGAGAGCCCATCCCTGCCTCACAGTGGGCCCCACATCTGTGTGGCAGAGTTAGTTCAGGGTCAGACTTGTCTCCTGGGCGCCCTCTGGATCTCCCCTTTCTATACCTGGGGCCAAAGTGGAACTCAGCCTTTCCCTCTACTTTCCCACCCGCCAGGGCTTCCCTCTCCCCCCACAGAAGGAAACTTCCACACTGATATGTATGGGAGCATCAGACCTTCTGAAGGCCGAGGAAATGGAAGGCATTATCCTCACCAATATCATGGAATGGATAGTATTTAAATGCTAGTCATGTTTGTCATGTTCCTAAAAGGTGAGCTACACAATCATCTCCAAAACAAAGTTGCTAGCCTTCTGCTGTTTTACTTGGCCTTCCTCTCCCGTTCCTGTCCTCCAGTAGCTCTCCTTTTCCAAACATTGCTCATAGAAAAATTCCAAATTTTTCTCATGTAAAGGAATTTAGCACTTCTCTCAGCTCCATCCAGATTTTAACTCTAAGACCTATCCAGGTGCTTAGCAGAACTAACCTTTCATAAAACAGCGCCCACCATCGACAGAAGGTACTTTTGGGTCTAAATACATTGTCCCCTAGCCCTACTTATGATCGAATGATCGAATTAAATTCTGCCATTCAGCTCATATTTGATGTGGATATTCCATATAACCAGTTTTATTATTCATTTCCTCAGCACATAATTACTGAACACTACTTGTAAAAAGAAATACAGCTTCCTTTCTGTTGATCAATTGTAAGTAAATCACTGTTTTCACATATCATAATTCTGGACTTCAGTGATTTCTGTGAGGGAAGGGCATGCAGTGTTTCAAGACTCTGTAAGAGGAAATACCTTAGTTTGGACTATACACAAAATACCCAAGGCTGAGTGGCTTACGCAATAGACGTGTTTTCTTAAGAATCTAGAGGCTGTTGGGCTGAGAAGGCTGCCAACACAGTGAGGTTCTGCCGAGAGATGGCATTCCCAATGTACTCATTGTCTGAGCTCCCGAAAAAGAATCTGTGCTATAAGCAGTGTGAGTATGAGGGTCTCTGCGTACGTTGTAAGACATAGTCTTTAAAGGGTCATTGTCAAGGGATTAGAGGGTAAATTTATTGTTAAAAGGCCCATTCATCAGGCAGTATAGTATCTCACAGAGCACAGAGAGCTTCATGGCTCTGGCACAGCATGCTAACTCCTCATTGGCTCTAGCACAACATGATAACACATCCCCTGGGCAAGTGACTCTAGCTAGCTTCTCTCTCCATGAGCTTAGGTAGCGCTCTAGGGACAGGGTTCTAAGATTTTCTTAGTATGTAACCAATCACATTCAGCCTGTTTCTTTTATTTACTTTCTGGCATCTCTGTGACCACAATACCAGCTGATCTAATTTCTCTATTTTCTCATAACAAATATCCTATTTCACAAAAGCAATTAGATCTCTCATTTCCCTGTGTACAGTGTTTATCTGTTGTTACTCTTTTAGCAGCTTTACGACTTCTGATTTGGTTGACTTTGTGAGATAGCATCTCTGCTGAATTTTAGATTTGTCCCAGCCAATCACTAACTCAGATATGTGTGACAAAGACATTGAAATACCATCCTTGAGGGGCTGGGGATTTAGCTCAGTGGCAAAGCGCTTGCCTGGCAAGCGCAAGGTCGTGAGTTCGGTTCCCGGTACCGGAGGGAAAAAAAAAAAAAAAAAGAAATACCATCCTTGAAACCAGTTCTGAATGATAAAAATCAGATGATGGGCTAAATTCGTTTAAAAGAGACTTGACATAGTGATACTGCGGTACTATCAGAGGGAGACAGCCCACCAGCCTTCTTTTCAGACGCCTCACAGTTCATGCACATAATAATAACATTTTCTATAAGTTGTTTGAAGTTTTCTGGGCCTGAGCATACTTACATATCCTAGTGTGATATCCATGCTCTCAAATTTGAGATTTATATTTGCCATCTAACTAGTATACCACTTTCAAAGTAATGAAATGCTCTAGGATACAAGAGGGAAGAAATTATGTAAAAATAAAACATGAATTGTCATCTAAAAAGATAAATTGTAAAAACTAAGCCTGCATTTTTCATTTTCAGATGTTTGTCTTTTGTTCTAATTAAAGCAAGTATTGGATACAAGCCATCACCTTAATGGCTAAAACTCAGCTTTTAGTCACCAGGAGTGAAATGCCGGGCTTGATAGTTCAGTAAGTTTATTCCAGGCACCCACATAGCAGTCTTCTTAGAGGAAGTTGAGGATCACAAGCTTGGTGAGTGGCACAGCCTAGACTCAAATTCATTTAGCAACTGGGCTCTTCATACTGGGTCACACTACTATAATAGCCCTGTTTATTTTCCCAGCCATAAACTCTGCTAAAATTTCTATTAATAGTAATTTGAGTTTCCCCTTCTCTGGACTGTAAATTTACATAATTGGATTTCTATGGACTTTTGCACCACTGGTAATACTTGAAATGGATTTATTTTTCAAACATATGATAGCAAATGACTCCTGTAATATGAAAATTCTTCCCCAAAAGCCAAACCTTCCTTCTGTTCTTTTATTTGATGAAAATTATGGCAGCCAAATGCATTGTTTCCCAGGGCTGCCCGTAACACAGTATGGTGAGGTAGGCATCTGAAAACAGAAGGGTGTGGTTGCATCATTTGGGAGGCCAGGTGTCCAAAATAGACATGTGGGCAACTTGGTTCCTCCTGAAAGTTATGAAGATGGAGCTACTCTGGGCCTCTCTTCTTGGGGTGCAGGTGGCTGGCTTCTCCTTGAGTCTCTTCAGAACTTTGCTCCGTGCACGTCTGTGTCCAAATTCCCCTTTTTATAAGAACACCAGTAACACTGAATTAGGAGCCACTGTAACGATCTAGTTCAGCTTTATTACCTCTTTAAACACCCTGTTGCCACACAAAGCCACATTCTGAAATAGAGTCTCAACATACTTTCTTGAGTGGGGTGAAACAACCCCCCAGCCCTAAATTCTGAGCCAGGGTCATCCATGGAAGTAGGTGCTCTGATGTGGACCTGGTCCAGCATCGTGGCCTGAAGCAGGTTGCCCTTCTCATAGCAGATTCCACTGACTTCTACTCCAATGTTGTATCAGTTACATGCTAATTTTATCTCAGTAGAATAGATTTCTTGCATTTAACAGATCACCTCATTGATGTAATTGAAAAAGTTTTCAGAAAGATGGCTGCATCCTTCCACCGCTAAAGTTTTACCACAAAGAGAAATGTCTACCCACAAAGGCCCTCTTTTGGCAGCACCAGTTTTGAAGCCCAGAAGAACAGACATAGCATCTTTCCCCTTTCCTTTGTCCTCTGTCTTTATTACTTTCCTCATCACTTGGACATAATATCCAATATCCACATATGAAAGGAGGAAAGGTTCATTTTGGCTCATAGTTTGTTGAAGTTTCAGTCCATAGTCAGCTGGCTCTAAGGCAGAATGGGATAGAAAAGGGGCACAGCAGAGGAGTATTGCTCATGGCATGGCAGACTGGAAGTGAAGGGCAATAAAGGGAGGAAGGGGTGGAGATAGACCCTTCTAAGCCACACCTCCAGTGGCCCACCTCCTTGGACTAGTCTGCATCTTCTAACACCACCTTTTGTTATAAACTCACTGATGGACTAAGTAGTATTAGTCACTAGTGAGATTCACTGGTGTGTATCACATACCCTGATCCAGGCACCTCCCAAAAGCCTCACCTATGAGCACATGCAGCTCTGGGGACACAGTAGATAAAGACCATAAGAGACTTGAAACCTCTTTGACTTTTTCTGTTCCTTTGCATCCATCCACAGAGACAAACCAGTGTTCCCTGGGTCTGTCTTCAAAGATAGAGCCTCTGGTATAGCAAGGATCCAAAGAGACCAAAACTCTTAGATTTTGTTTTGTTTTTTTTTGCGGTGGGGAGGTTTCGGTACCGGGGAAAAACTCTTAGATTTTGAAAGAGCTGCTTACTATACTGGATATGCTCATTTAGTACCACTGTTGATAAAGAAGGTTGTCATTAATGTCAACCCCTGAGACTTCACTGGTTCTTGCCAACAGCAAACATTGCTGCAGACACAAGTGGCAAGGTCTTCTGTGACCCAGTGTAATATTTACAGTGCCCATAGGATAAGAGTCCTGGTGTTACAGACGAGGAAAGTGAGGCTCACAGATACTCAGAAGCCTCTTGAGTGGACACAGGGATTTGTGGCAGATGTGCCTCATTTGTACTTGGGCATGTGGGAAAGCTGTGTGCCTCCTATTCCCACCCACCCAGCTCAGGAATTCACTCTTGGATTTTTCCCATTGAGAGAATTATGAATTCATTGGTTTTTAAACTATTCAGACTAACAATCGCTTTAAATGCCTCAAGGAACTAGAATTGTTCACTGGAAAGCATATTGGTTGGAAGACAAATATTTTAAACCAAAGAAAGGCAAGAAGAGTGGTGAAGCATGCAGGAGGGGAAAGGCAGGCATGATCACAGTGAACACTGTAGGTCAGTGGAACACAAGTCCCCAGGGGAAGACAGAAGCCCTCGCTCTGGGAACCAGGTAGGGAGAGGGAAGGAAGTAGCTTCTCACAGGCAGCTCTGAGGGTACAGGGAACTTGGCCCTGGGCTGAGCTGGCTTTGCAGATTGCACCCCAGGGAAATGGTCCTCCTCCTGTTCCTTCTTGATGAACACCGTGGAGAAACACATTTATGGATCTTTGTTACCTATGGATTTGTGCCTCCTTGTGCATATTGCCCTTTCTTCCTCGGATAGGATTACACTGAGAGGATAGAGAAACAGCAATCCTGAATCAAAGATGAAGCTTTCTGTGGCGCTTCTTCAGAGATAGCTAGAGCTGGGCATGTGTGCGTCTGTATATCTCTGTGTGTCTGTATGTCTCTTTGTCTGTGCATATATGCACATGTGTGTGGGCCTGTGTGTGTTTTAGTGAGAATATAACATCATGCATTGCCAGACACCATGTGGTATTCTCCTGCACACCCTGCGAGGTCTTTAGATTCCTATATTTTCATGACAGGCCATTTGGATAGGGGTTAACTCACATTATCACCATTTATACTTAACTGGTAACATTTAAAAATATAATTGTTCTGTGTCACCACAGTTTAATCTGTCATTTCCTAAGGAATAAAACTCTTTTAAAAATGTCCTTTCATCCACTGCTAATTGTTAAATGGGCAGACGGTCCCGATCTCCGTGAAGTGAACAGGTCAAGTGATAAATCATTTGATTAGAATTTTCCTTGGCCCCTAAAGGTACTTGGATGACATTTATAAAGATCATTCCCTTTCTTTTAGGTAATGAGCCATTATGAATGGATCTTCATTCCTTAAAAGGCTGAATATTCATGCTCGACTGTGTTGGCAACTGACCTAAGTCAATATGATTAGAAACATATTTGACTTTTCTCTGTTGGGCATTTATAACTGCCAGTACATTCTGAGCTGGTAAAAGTTAACTATTTCCCTAGAGTCTTACCACTTGGTTACAAGTTAAGCAAGTCTCAGATCTGATGCTGATTTACATAAGGACATTGATTATCAAGCAAATACAAAATAAATTATAAAACCAATTCCTTTTCTCTAGGTCAGTGGTGGTGAATCTGTGGCACGCATGTCACAGTGGGCTGTTTAATCACTGACAGTTCTAAAAGGTTCGCCATCACTGTTCCAGGTGGTTAGCCACCATGCAAAGTTTTCCTTAAGGTGAAAAAGAATCCTAAATCCTCCCGTCTCCAAGTCCATTGCTTCAGTGGAAATCAGGCACACCCATATCCGTATATCTCAGTTCTTTTATACCCTCCAATCTGCCTCCTCTACCCTAAGCCAAAGCCCTACCATGACTGGTCCACAGCTTTTCAGTTCTGTTTGTTCCCCATCCAATTTTTAAACATGGCACCAGACACATTTCCTAAAACTCCCTGGATTAGATTATTCCCCTACTCAAAGGATTTCTAGGAGACAGAGACCTTATTTCACAGTAGAAAATGTTCAAGCTCCTTTGTACGCTCAGTCCCCACTCACATTTACGACTTCTATACCCACCTATTGTGTACAATCGTCTAGTCACTGTGCCAGCTGGACTTGGTGTTCATAGACCTCAAGTATCTCACAGGTGGTGGGTGTCCCTTGTGAGTTCTTTTCCCATAATATTCTCGTGTTCTTGCAAAAACATTACACATGCACGTGTGCACACACACAAGTCTTGTAACCACACAACTTTTTGCTAGTGTTTCATGTGTCTGGAATTTGTAATTAATAAACATTTGTAAAATGGTTTTAACTGTGGGTGTTGTCACCTATTATTCTAATGAGGTTTCAAGCTTGTTATGTAACAGTTTTGAGCCTCAGTCTCCACATCAGTACAGAGACAATAACGCCTATCAACCTAGTGACCCTCTTTAAGTAATCTTAGCTTCCTATCATCTTCCTCCCCTGTGCAGAAGTCACAGATCTCTCTTTTCTCTGATAAGTATGTCTTCCATCTTTATTCATTGTATTTTAGGATTATATATTGTATCTTTCCCTGGTCTGTGTAAATGCTTTGGCTACAGAGCTTTATTTCTGGGTAGTCATTGTAAACAGGGTGCTTTCTCACCGGTTTTGTCCTTTGTGTCTAAAATGTAATGTGAGGGTATACACTCCTCGATACTACTTCATTTTCTGTTGCTGATAACAAAATAGATGGAATAAGTTCAGAACAGAGGGATTTATTTTGGCTCACAGTTCTGGGTCATAGACAAGGAGCAACTGTGTATATGTCTGTCTGGACTTTTTCCCTCCTCCCCCTCCTCCTCTTCCTCTTCCTCCTCCTCCTTATTTTTCTCCCTCCTCTTATTCTTCTCCATCTCCTTCTCCTCCTTCTCCTTTCCGTCTCCTTCTCCTCCTCCTCTTTCTCCTTCTTCTTTCCTCCCTCCTACCCACCTGTTTTTCTCTTTCCAAAACCAGCAGGATTAAATCATAGTGGTTCTGCGCTAATGAGCCTATCTTTTCCTTATCTTCCCAAAGCCCCCACTCCAAGCCCCCACCATTGTCAGACTTAGTTTGTATTCTCAAATATCTCCCAATAAGGATTAAATTCAATACAGGGACACTTGGGGACTAAATTCAAGCACAACACCTTGACTTGTCAAGAAGGAAAGTGAGAGTCAGAGGTTTAAGTGCCTTCCCTAGGTCATTCCAGAACAAACTGTACAAGTAAACTTTGAACCCAAGTCAGTGCAGAGCTATCTCCTTCCTCCTAAAGCTGTATCCTTAGGAGCAGCAGGAATTTATTTTTATTGCTTATATTTGAGCACTTAATTTCATAACTCTCCTAGGGACCAGCCTATGATGACTACCTGCAATTAAGAAGATACCCTATAAGTACTTTTAAAGAAGTAAATAGATGAATACAACAGACCATATTAATAGTGCAAGTAATCATTTGAGGGATAATTTCATCTATGTTGGGGGTGGGGGTTGCCTTACTTTCCATCCAGCTGGTTTCTCTGGGGTGGCAGCATGAAGTCTTCATCCGGAAACACAGAATCATGAGGTGAAAGGCAGCATTCAATACCATCTGCTGGGAAGAAGCAGAATTCACATTGAGGGTTCTCTAAGGCTGCTTTGTGCTGCTGTGAACTCCCTACATTGTATTCATAGATATTTCGCCTTTGGCTAAGATCAGGTAGAGTGTTTGTTCTCGTGGCTTTTCATAACCGATGTGTTCTCCATCCAAGGACAACATATTTAGACCGTACATGCATTACAATGTATTAAGCTCCATTGAACCGCAAATTTTTAAACAAGAGACCTACTTGAATTCTCTTGGATGCCTTTCTTCTATTGACATTGTTCCTATAAAATGGCATAGTGGATGATTCTGTGATGCTTGATCGACTGTCATGACTTGAGCCTGCATTCCAGAAGCGTTCCTCAGACAGGGAAGAGGGACATTTCTCTTCTCCCAGAGAATACTAACAGTGCGCTCATGCGCACATTCTGGGGGTAGGGTGGATAGGTCACGGGAACCGTTGTGCTGCACAACAAAGATAAAATAAAATGATTATTCCATAAAGAAATGGGTTGCACCTCCCTGGGTTAAACAAGAAGCATAGTTGTGGACAGCATCTTTCATGCTGTGTAAAACATTTCCCTACTCTCTTCATCAGTTTCATAATAGGAATTTCATATCAGTCTCTATTAAAAAAAAAGAAAAGAAGACACAGCGTAAAAGAGGAAGCAGAATTTAGGCAGAGGGTACAATGAAAACTATGGACAAAGACAGGAAAAGGAAAGAGAAAGAAAAAGAAAGGTAACGTCCGTTGCTCTGTGTGTTCTGAGGTGAGGGAGCTGGTCATAGGTCAACAGCTTTAGTCACACATCCTGTTATTCACTTTGGGTATCAGAGTACATTTTCACTCCCTTTAAAATTTCCATATACTCTACGATGATTCCACAGCAATCTCTCTCTACTGGAAAATTGTGTATCTGCTTCTATTTCACTCTTTGAGGTCTGTGTGCTTTTCTAAGGCTTTATTTTTCACACGAAGCCCCATATATTTTGAAATGGGTGAGATAATGCATTTGGTTTTACATATTTCTGTTGTAATCTTAACTTGGGGCTAATTATTCCAAAACAAGCTAGAGTGGCTTCTTCCTGGAAAACTTGCATACAATATTTTTCGATGTTCACATTGTTATTTTGTCATGTTTAGTTATTTGAAAATGGACAAGTTTTGGCACGAGGTGTGCTTTAACCCTGGCTCTACATTTGACTAAACTATCATCCTCTGTAAGTCGCTGTGTCCTTGTCTACAGGACAAAGATACTTGTCTCCTCAGTCACTCTCTTAGAGCTATGGTGAGGCTCTGTGTCCTGGATCACAGATCTGGAGTACAGTAGATGGGAATGGTGTCCACTTCCCCTCCAGTGGCTCCAACCAAGTAGAAGAAGGATGTAGGGAACTCTTCCCGCCTCTGGATTTCTATTGATTATAATGAATGTGCTATCACTTAGCTTATAAGTCATGAAATTATTTTCTACAGTTTCATCTGTGTGTGTTCTGAGCTCAGAGCAACATAAATTTGGATCCAGATGAAAGTGAACCTGGATCTGACTGCATTCCTAGAAAATCATTGAAGCCTGTTTTGTGGAATGCTAAATGACCAGGTAAAGAGGTAGCTACCAGATATGCAGGCTTCAAAATATCCAGAACTATAGAAATAAATCAAGGATTTCAGTTTTGTACTAAATTAAAATACCACCTATACGCACTTAAGGTAAACTTTTCACTCACATTGAGTCATGTCAGTACAAAGCTTAAAATGTGACTAATTGAATGAACCATATGACTTTCCAAAAGCCAAGAAAATCATAACAATTTCACGTGACACTTTTTTACCAGAAGTCAGAGAATCTTGTGTCTTGCATAAAACGGGAGGTAGATGTCACTGTAGCCTAATCACTTACCCAGCATAGAATTTGCTGTTTGCCCACTTCTTGCACTTAATTCTTAGTACAGGATTTCTACTGATCTCCTTCTAGGAAACGGTCTTCATTACTAGGAAAACTGGAATGTTAATTCTAAGTGTATTCTTCTCCACATGACGATTCCTAGCTTTGGAGTCCTCTGTCTCTCTCATGAAATATTTCTAGATTCATCATCATCCCTGTTCCCACTAAGAGTGCAGGTATCCATAGCAGGCAAAGCTTCCCCAAGCTTAGAGAACAGTGAACTGATTGTCTCCAGTGAATAATAATTTTCATGTAGAGGTTAAAGAAGTCTAAAATTACATTGTGTTTATTTTAGATTTTGTATTATGGGGGGGTTCTTTATTTTCTTTTTATAATACTCATATCACTACCCAGAACAAAATGATAAATGACCTTTCTAAATCTTCCTTTCCTATCCCTTTATAATGTCTTTTTAAAAGAATATTTTTCTAAATTTTCCCAGCCTAGAGTAACAAAGGAGACCACATTAAGATTTTTAATTCTCCTAGGTTTTGCTCACATTTGCTGATACACTTCCCTCATGCCACCCACCTTATCATTTCTGGAGTAGCCAACGTGGCTCAAAAGGACAAATTCACCACTTTGGAGACCACTGCTGTTCCACCAGACCCAGCAGCTTGCTGGATTCCCCAAGTCTTAGCAGGTCACCTTCTTACCCAGGTACCTGAGGCTGTGCTTCTACTGTGCTCTAAGGACATTAAAAGTTCTCTCATTGTTCCTGATATTGTAAAAATTCTGTGCAATATCTCTTCACTTGAAACTCTCATTACATGGTCTTCAAATACATCCTTTTTCAGACCTTGTCAATATCCATCTTACAGATATGTAAAACCATTTGCCCATTTTTCTATTTCTGAGCTTGTCCATCTTTTAGCCTAGTTTATTGTAACCAAATGGTGTCCTTTACCTTGTTACTATTGTATTTTAAAATCCATTCACTTTTAGCATTTGTGAATAGTTCTGAATCCTTCTTCAGTACATTAACATCATTCACAGCTTTTAGCTTTACATAAGCATTTTAAAGACGAATCTCTGGGATTTTAATCAACAAAGAAGATTTAGCTGCTGGCAGACCCAGCTTGTATATGTCAATGTGGCACTTTGGCGCTCCTTGTGATGAGAAGCCTAAAAGGAAAGACTGCTTTGCAAGGTATGAGTATACCCTACCTGTACTGGCTAACATCACTGAGCATTAATTCACCTGCTAAGTTAGGTATATTTCCTAATTATTACTTCAAGTCCTCTATTAAAAACAAAGCACACAAAAATGAATTTTAGAATTAAAAGAAGTTTACCTATGGCCCACTCAAATCAATTTATCCATTCATATATGCGTTTCTTAAGAAATCATTTATTGTCTTCGTTCTGTATCTTATAAGCAATACAAATACAAGAGACTGGAATGTAACTCACGACCTTTCCTTGTGCCAATGGTGATGGAAGAATAGAGGGAAGAAGTAAAGCCTATGATTCCTTCTGTTGCACAGGTGAAGAAAGGATTCCCAAGTACCTGAAATTTAAGCAGCAGCTTAAGAAAGAACAAAGAGTTCAGCAGAGACAAATGATTGCATAACAAGCTTAAAAAGGTAAAGCATGTCGGCAACTACATGCTTTAGAAGGCACGATATTCTGCCTCGCAGCCCAGGAAGAAATCATATAGATGTTAGTCTTACGAATAGCTTTGGGATAAGGAACATAAGAAATGTATATTTTATCTGTCATGAAACGGAAAAAAAAAAATCAAGGTTCCTCAAGAAAAGGAATGGCATAGTTTAGAAAGACATTTTTGGTAGCAATATGGAAGATAGATTATAGGCTGGAGGCAAGAGATAAGACTTTTCCTTCTCAGTGTGACAGATGTGTTTATTAATAAAGCAGATAACTTACATGTAAATCTATGCAAGATTAGGTCAGTTCATCTCCACCTCTTCAAGGGTTTTGAACAAATGGTAAGCTTGTCCTTCTCACTTTTATTTATTTACATGGTGAAATCTCTAGATAGATAGAAGAAAGCTGGAAAAAGACACTAACAAGCTCCTTTACCTTGGCTTTCTGTGCCTTTTGGAAAATACCTGACACAAAGCTGGGAAACCCAACATCTCACCCAGCTCGTGTCTTGCTTCTCTTGTTTGCATGGTGTTTGAGGAGAATGCCTCAGGCTTCCTTTGTCCACTCACAGGCCAATCGTGAGTCACAGTCTGAATATGAGGAAATGTTCATTTACTTTTTCATGGTCATGGCAATGAGACTTTTTTTTTTGTAATGCTGAAAGGACTACCCTCGCATAAAGTGCCTGGTGAGAAGGTCATTTTCTCCCACAGGCTTGGAGCAGAATGTCAAACTACAATTCGGGGAGTTCCATCATCATTCTGATAGCCTCGGGAAGCTGAGGTTTCACAGCTGCCTGGAATCCACATGCTTCGCATGATGTAGATCTGCACTGTTAATTAGCTGTTTCAGGATTCTTAATGCCCTGTGGTTTTGGAAACACTTGTTAACCCAGAGAATGAGGGAAAACCTGGAAGCAATTGGACTACAGCCTGAATTCATTATAGTTCAATTCAATAACCTCTCATCTTTCCAAATCCCTGTTCAGAATCTGTTGAAAATTGTTCACTTAAATTGTTGTCAGTGACACAGCCTGAGAGAGGAGGTAGATCACAGTGCAAGGCTTCTTGAAGCTACAGAAATGTGGGGAACAGCAGAAAAGATGTAATCAGTGGAACTTTCCAGACACACACATGCAATTCAAGAGGCTAGAAAATATAAGCTGGAGTGAGAGAAAGGAGAAGCCAGATGACGCAGGCAGCCCACGTAGGGTACCAACAAGTCTGCATTTCTGTTCTGACAAATGCAAAGCAAGAGCTGTCATCCCCTCACACACACTCTACTCAGTACACAAAGCTGGCACTCAACAGACAGATAATTCTTCTCGATAGGATTCTCATGACATAACCTGACCAACCACATGAAACCCGATGGGGAAAACAGCTGTTGTCATTGGCAACAAGTGTAGGAATTGCATCACAAGTGAACCACAAGCTTTATTCCACAGAGCAGGTCACAGTACAACCTGCCGTGCATGCTGCTGTACTGTGCTGTGCATGCATGTTAAGGAGCCAAATGAAAATTTCACACAGAAGTCCATGTAAATCTTTAAAAGAAACACACAAAGCCTAATTGTGCTCATGTCCTTCTCGCAATAGACACTGCAAATATCTTCAGTCTGGAAGTGGCCTTTAAACAGCCACCTCTCTGTCCACTAGACCTGAACAATGGCATCCTCTTCCTCCTCTGCTTCTCCTGAGATTGCACCATGAAAGTGACAGAGGGTTCCAGTAGCGCATGATCCTTGGCATATGCAATGTGATCCATACTCTTTTAGGAGAGACAGGTGAGCCCTATCTACAAATCTTTATTCCATTCACCCAGAATTCCTGAAACACAGTAGGTGCGCCATCAAAGAAAAACATTTGTTGAATGAATCAGTGAGTCAATTAATGAAATAATTAATTTCCATGTGAACGTGTGTTGTACTGGGATTGGAATCCAGAAACTCTCTGCTACTGTGCTATATGCCCAGCCCCTTTTATTTATTTTTTTAATGTTGAGACAGTTTCTCGCTAAATTGCCCTTATATTCCCGGTATTCCGGCCTCAACCCCTCAAATAGCTGGGATTCAGGCCTAAAGCACCACACCCGCTCTTGTGATGCTAACTTTAAGGAATGTTCTTCCAATAGGAATTTTACTGTGAGAAATTTGCTTGGAGTCACGAGTAAGAGATATATTTACTTAAATGTTCAGATAATAGCCGTTCTGTTTCCTGTGCCATGCTTATGCTCTTATACCCTTCCTAATATGCTTACAAAAGGAGAAAACATGGCTTCAATTGTAAATTAATATATTTACCCCTGTATTTAAAAATGCATGCATTGTGTAATTTCTGAGACCAGGATAACTTTCTAGTGAATAAAAACCTCCAAGTTATTGTGTTCATTTTACAATAGGGTTAAATACATTAAGTAGGTGATAGAAAAAATAAGTTTGTATATTGTTTCAAGATGTATTGACTGAGATTGTACAATATTTGCTCATTTGAAATGTATAAGCTCCCTGAAATGCTACCTAACTCCCATCTTAATAATAACCAAAACGTGTTTTGAAATACTAATGTTCAAGCTAATTAGCTTAACAGATGTCAAGAGTAACACCTGATTTATTCTCTTGTGGATTTTTTAAATGCATGTTTCAACCTGTTCCATGCTGTGCCCTTCATTACGTCTCTCTTATGAAAGGGCCTGTAAGATTTTACTTTTTTATGCTGTTATTTTAGTGAGAAAGAACTGAGACGAACTTGAGATTCCTGTATACTTAGACTATCACCCGCAGTAGTTTTGATCTTTGTTTCTTAAACCATGAATACCTAAGAACTTGGGTTTATAACCACAAATGTTAAACAGCAAAACCCTTTTTTATTCACTTATTTTTTAAGCTGCAGGTGGCTTTTGGGAATCATACACTGTGCTGTACTTCTTTGTTGTCTTGGAAAGTTGTGCTGTGAGGGATGGGAGGGAAATCCTCATTCCCTTCCCTGATGGGCAGATACTTCTTTATCATATAGATGAGTCTGAAAACTTTTCTGAGCTGAGAGGTAGCCTAGTACCTTTTGACTTATAACATGAAATGTCAAAAACAGCTGTTAAGTGGTTCCAGGGTTCACTAAACATAGACAATTATCAAACTGCGCTTTGTAAATAGACATGTCTAAATCATATCCTGTTCTAATTTAGTCAGAAATCAGCAATGTTCTGTTTCATAGAACATGAATGTTTTAGACTAGAACACTACAAATGAACTGAAAATTGGTATAGGACCTTAAGCAGGACAGTCTTTACAGAGAGAAAACATGTAGATAAAACATGTAGAAGAGCCAAGAGAACATACCTTAGAGAAGAAAAGGACTATTTAGGTATCTTCCATGAGTGGACAGTGATGAAAATCAGATGGCCATTTCTACTGGGAACAGTACAGAATGAATGACCTGAAGTTAAAGGTGTGGGTGCTCCTCTTTCTTGATGTTGTGTTACTGTCAAATTGGGCTGCACATGGGAATCATGAGGTAGTTTGCAAAAAGGCTGATCCTAGGTCCCACCCTCAGAAAGCCTTCTTGATTTTGTTTGGAGCATGGTCTGAATACTGCCATTTATACAACTTTTTTGGATATTTTTAACATGCAACCAATT